AACTCCAAGCAGAACAAAAATTAAGAAAACCATGCATATCATATTATAATAAAGTTTCTGAAAACTCCTTTTCATTCTTTTTTCCTTTGTTCTCTAGATAATTTCAAAAGACCTGTCTTCTACTTCATAGATTCTTTCTGCTTGATCCAGTCTGCTGCTGATAACCTCTATTGTTGCTTTTCATTTCATTCATTATATTCTTCACCTGTAGAATTTTACTTTGTTTCTGTTTTATTATTTCTCTCTCTCTGTTAAACTTCTCATTTTGCTTATGTCTAATATCCTGATTTTGTTGAGTTGTCTTGTGGTGTTTTCTCATAGTTCACTGAGCTTCTTTAAAACAACTATTTTGAATTCTTTATTGCGCAAAGCACAGTTCTCCATTTCTTTGTAATCAGTTAGTGGAAAATTACTGTGTTCCTTTGGTAATGTCACATATCCTTGATTTTTTCATATTCCTTGAAGTCTGCATTGCTGTCTGCACTTGAAGCAGTCACTGCCTTTAGTCTTTATTGACTGGCTTTGGAAGAGAAATAACCTTCTGACAGCCCTGTTAGGGACTCTGAGACTTTCTCAGGTCTCTTCTATGGATATGTCTGCTCCACACTTCTTGTTCCCTCCTGGAGTAGGGGGTGGGGGTAAATTCTTAAGATTGTCTGCAAAGCAGACTAAGTGTTGACAGCCTCCTGTTTGCTTTCCCTAGGGTGGTGCTGAATAGTCAGATTTGTTTGCTTTCTTCCAATCCTGCAAGTTTGGTCAGCTTTCTGTGTGTGCTCATTAACTATCTGCAGAGGCTCACTTTTGCTGTCCTCTGGGGGACACACAGGGCAGCTGCTTATAGGGTGGTGTGTGTGTGTGTGTGTGTGTGTGTGTGTGTGTGTGTGTGTGAGATATGTGGAGTGCTGGGGGTGCCTAGGGGCCACTTGGGGGACCTATAGGTGAAGCATCCCTCGTAGCTATAGATGGGCTTCCTGAGGGAGTCCATAACAGAGTTAATAGGATTTCTGTCCTTTTGATGCCTTCCAAGGGCTTCATCTGCTGGTCTACCAGCCACTCCCTGCCCCCCAGTTTTGCAGTACTCCAAATATTCTGGATGGGTGAGAAAGAAGTGGATTGAGTGGATCTCTTTGGCAGTGCCCCACATAGCTGGGAAAGCTGGGCACTCACTCACATACTCTCACTTTCCCCCATGGGAGAAACTGTGTACTGAATAGGTCTCTCTTGGCACTGAACTGTGCTACTTTTGGGGAGGGGTGACACTGGTAAAGTGAAACTGTTTACTCTGACCCTCTTCAGTATGTCCAACATAAGATTTTTTTTACCCCAGTGGTGTACTGGAACTTTCCCACTGGACTCCTAGACTTCCACAAAGGCACTCCTATTCGTGAATGAGTGTCAGATTCAGTGTTCTTTGGGGTCAAGATGGCAGAAAACTCTTGTTTTGCCATTTTGATTGTTTCGCTCTGAGAGCTGCGGTCAGAAACACTCTGAAAGCATCATTCAGTCTGTATAGGTGTTTAACACATCAAAGCACAAGGAGCAGACCTGGGACCTCAGGGGCACAGGTTGTGGGAATGGGAATTTAGTGCTGTTGCCAGTTGTTCTGCGCACTTTAAATAGGCCCTGAGATTCTCCCTGTCATTTTAGAGAATATTTAATTCAAAGTTCCAGAAACTTACTCAAACTTGCATAAGCTAAAAAAAGAATGGTTCATAGAACTGAAAGTCTAGAGCATGGCTCATGAGGCACCAGACTGGGTACTGGGAAGCTACCAGAAACCAAGCTCTCTCTCCCTCTTTACTTGTTTTTTCGAGGCTCCATGGTCTTTCGTTTTGTCCTCACTGAGAGTGTGTGATTCATTCTTTTCTGTCTCCTCAGCCTTTCACCCATCCTTTTAAGTATCCATAAAGCCTGACTAGCATGGCCATATCTAATTCCAAATTTCCATAAGAGACGATCGGATTGGCCCAGCTTGGCCAGGTATCTGTCTTTGGACCAATGAAATGTGATCAGGGAGTGAAATCAATGAGAATGTGTCTATGGAAATTACTCCCACAGGAAAGGGCAGGTCTCAGAGGATAATCTCAAAGGAGTCTCATATAGCCACATACTGTTGATATTCACTGTAAAGACTTATCAAGAGAAAAATCATCAAAAAATTAATTAATTAATAACTGCCTTATTCTAAAAAAGGATATGAGGCAGCTAAATCTTAAAGTATATAGACTTTAATAGAATAAGGCCAGAAAATAAATAAATTTAATATTAAAATGTTTATTCTAAAATCATTAAAAATTTCAAGTGTGACTTAGTTTAAGTTATTGTTTAAGTGGAAAATCTCATTCCTAGTGATCAGAGGTAAATGCAAAGATTTTAAAAATTGAGTATTTGACTGGTTCCTTTATTTAAACACTCTTTATTTTAGCCAAATTGCATTAGTAAGACAATGTGGTAAAACAAGAACTAGTAAATAAATTTGAATTTAGTTAACAGAGGGAGCTGGTTTTAGATATTTAAAATATTTTTGTCACTTATAATGTTTTGGTTAGCAAATTGTTGAAATTTCATAAGGAAATGAAACTCAGTTGGCTTTCACCAGGTGTTTCTATATGACTGTAGGTAATTGTACTACATAGTACGAGTGTTAAATGTTTTAGGTTGCATATCTTGTCTTACTACTAAAGAAGTAGGGGAAGTGAAATATGGAGCATATCATTACTCTGGACAGGAAGCAATAGAAAGGCAAATCAAAGTTGTTCTTGACTTGGTCCTTTGCATTGTTTTAATATTTTTACTGGAAATGCTTTACAGCAATGCCCTTTTGGATCACCATTGGGTTGTTCAGTAAATACATTGTTTGTAGCTCAAGGCCCAACTGGGGCTGAATGTTTCTGTTCCCCTGGAGAAAAAACCCTGTAGCCTAACTCAATTTGAATATACCCTAGGTTAGGAAAGGGAGAGAGCTGCTGATAGGGACAAGGCTTCCCATCTTGCAGGAGCGGGGCTATGTACTCCAACAAGTAAAAATTTGTAGGAGTGGGGTGTCCTTGGGAAAAACTTCAAGGAAATAAAAAGCTGGGCTCCTGCCAGCCTCTGTTGAGCAGAGGTTGTCCTAGACAGACTAGCCATGAAGTAATCAGCCACTGCCTTTTCTCCAGACACAGAAAGAGCTCAGAGATGGCTGGAGGGATTATGCCAACAGACCACTAGGGAGGAGCATGCAAACGGTTGTGGTTAGACAATGGCAACAATGTGTGAGAACTGGTGGCCCTTCCTTTGGGGCATCAGCAAGATCAGTGAGGGAGACTCTAGGAGAGGCTGTGCGCTTTAAGTGAGGTGGCAAGAAAACGTTTGTACCTGCAGCTTGGCCCTCTCCATTTTCTACTGGATCATTCCCATCTACTTACAAACTAGTTACAATGTTTGCCACCTTTAGAAAAGCCTTCACGAGATCCTTTATCCCTTGTCTGGCCACCAGACCATCTCTCTACTCTTGTCCCAGAAAAACATCTGAAGAGAGTTATCTACACTCTGCCTCCAATTCGTCGTCTTCCTTAAACATGATCTTTGTCTTTAGGATGGTTTTGGCATTAGACAGCAGAAAACTCTGGATCAACTGTATAAAATGAAAATGAAATGGGGGTGAGTTTAATTAACAAGAACCCCACAGTTAGAGTGAGCTCCAGTCATGGGCTCTGGCTATGCTTTGTGGCAATTCTCCTGGCTCTTCCCTCCTCTTTGGTGTTGGCTTTATCATCAGGCTGATACCAAGATGGTTTCCACAGACCTATGGGCAGAAATGACAGTTGGCAGTGAAAGAAGAGGAGCTGTTTTCTCCTTGTGTCTCTTTTTAAGAGAAAAGAGACCTCTACAGAAATTCTCCAGCGGACTCACCTCCTGTTGGCCAGCATTGTGTCACATGCCCATTCCTAAATGAACCATTGCCAGTGGAAAGCAGCTTACAGAAGTTGGCTTGGACCAATCAGGATTTACACTGAAACTGGCCATAAGGGTTATGTTTGCAAGGAAGGGGGAGAACAGATTCTGGGAAGTATCTCTAACATGTCAATTTAACTTTTGTCTCTAACATTACACTGAAATGGAACTGTGTAAGGGGCCAGATCCAGGGAGGATCTCTTTATCTTCATCTTGTTCCTTCTTGTAGCAACATTTGACTGCTTGAGTATCCTTTAGCTCCGCTACATCATGTTCTCCTGGTATTACTTTTCTCTTTGGTTGTTCTTTCTTGTTTTCTGGGTACACAGGGTTGTAAAAACAGGACTCAGGCTATTTCATCTTCAGCTTAGTCTCTGCCACACAATCAGGGCAAATGATTCCCACTTTTCAAAGTGAGGAATGAGAATACTAGCCAGGACTTGTGAAGGAGGCAGCCAACAGTGTGTTTATGTTTGACAGTTGATTGAATACCTACAGCTTATAAAAGAGAGCAAAGTGCATATGGATTTGGAGAAAATTGCTTTGGAGAGATCTGCAATAAAAGTGTCCCCCCTCAGTAGGGAAGCAGTGGGAGTACTTGCTCTTCCCTGCCAGTTCAGTGAAAGGGGCTTCCCTGGGGAGCACTTGGAAAGAGGGGCACAGAGGACTCGAGGCCAGCTGCGGCTGGCTAGCTCCTCTGATGGCAGGGTGAAGAGATGATGCTGTGTAGGGGATGGTGGCTCTCCCAGAGCTTTAGGCCAGTGATGCCTGAGTGCTTCCCATGGAACTTATGTAGTATGTACAGAGAAAGGAGGCACGGGGTTTCCTTAGATCCTGTTCCAGAGGGCTTCTTGGAAGATAAACAAACCAGCAAAAGAAACACAAAAATCTCTGGAGCTATACCATTAGACTCTGAGGTGATGAGGGAAGTATTTTAAGTGACCAGCCCTAGGAGATGCATTTACTTAAAGCAAGGGAACTGCCATTGCAAGATTTCCTCAGATGGTGGAGTTTCTGAAAAACCGTAAAATAGTCCCATGAAAAAAAGAATAAGCTCTAAATACCTGCCACGCCCAGGTAGCTTTGTTTGGTTCATAAGTAAGGTCTTTGCTGCTTCATACCTTGTCTCCTTCTCCTCTCTGCTTCAACTGTGGAGGAACCAGAAGCAGCCTAGTGAGGGCAAACGGACTGCAGGTTTTAGGCGAGAGAAATCAAGAGCCAACTAACTATACCCTCCTCTCCCACTGGAGGCAGCCAGGTTGGAGCACGTGCAGGCTGGGAGAGGGAAGCTTCAACTCTTCATGCATTTGAAAGTTTTTGTTATTACACCACACAATTCATAATACTTGTTGCAATGAGACTGTGTGTGTGTGTGTGTGTGTGTGTGTGCATGTGTGTCTGACCAGAGGTGACCAGATGGCTTTTTATTGCCCCGGCCGGCGGGGAGTTCAACAAGGGCTCGAGGGGAAGTTAACCTGGATGAGAGACAAACCAGACACAAAGAAGGAGACCAAGTCGATAGTCTGATCAAGGTCTCAAAGTTTATTCTTACAAGGTAGATTATATAGGAGCTGGGAGGGGGAAACAGCCCCTGCTGAAGTGGCAAGGGTTATCTAGGTTGCTAGGAAACCTAACTGAAGAATGTTCTCTGGAAAAGATCATGGATGGGGGATTACTGAGAAAAGACAGAATGTTTTACTAAGGAGGAGATGTTATCACGGCAGCTGCTTAATCTCTATCCCAGCGGTCTAATCACAAACTGGGTCAATTGATCTTTGTAAACCCGGCAGGCTTGAGAAATTAGAGACCTAGGCAAAAAGGGCGAGACCATTGTTTCTATGGCCTACGGCTCCCGACATTTTATTACTTAAGAATGACTAGAAAAGTCACAAAATTGATTTTGATTTTATTTAAGGAATAGGGAATAACTGGCTCCACTGAGGGAATGGTTTGAGCAGGTAGTGGAGCAAGGAATAAAATGTTTTTCTCATTACACCAAGTTGATCCCTCTTGCTCAATGTATCATAAAGACTGGCTTTTTCCTTTTCCATCCAGCCTCTGAATGAGGTTGTACCCCAAGATTTGTCCTGGATCTTCTCCCCTTCTTTGCCTAGATTTTCTTGATATGTTACCCCTTTCCATTTCACAGCTTTGACCCACCTTATGCTGATGACTTCCAAATATATAACTTTAGCTCAAACATTTTCACTGAGCTCCAGAATCACAAATCTGGTTGGTACTGGCAACTCCTCTTATTCCCAGTCTAACAGGCATTTAACACGCTCCAAGTCTCTCTGTCTAATCTCCACCACTTGTTTCTCTCCAATTCTTTCCTATAATAATGAGCATTGCTTTCCAACCAGTTGCTTAAACCCCAAGGCCAGGGGTTGTTTTGGATTTTCCCCTTTTCCTCATCTCCTACTTCCAGTCTATAACCATATCTTGTTGGTTCTACCTCAATAATATATCTCAAGTCTGTCCTCTTCTTTCCATCTCTATTGTTGTCTCCTACTCCGAGGCACCGTCAGCTTGTCCTGGGTTACTGCCCAGATCCCCATCTTGTCTCCCTTCTTCCATGCTTTCCCTGTTTAGTCTGTTTTCTACATCACCAGAGTAAATTGTAAATATTTAAATCATGTCACTGCTCTATTTTCCTATTTTATATAAAATAGAATTCAAACTCTTTTAAGCATGGCCTACGAAAGCCTTTGTGATCTGGTCCCTGTCTTCCTCTTTGAGCTCATATTCACCACTCTCTTTCACTCACTTTGCTGCAGCTACTCTTCCTTGAATAGCCTGGTCTCCTGCTTAGCTCAGAGACCTTGCAATTTCTGTTCCCTCTGCCTGGCATGCTCTTTTACTGTCTCCCATAAGGCTGGATCTTTCTCAGCATTCAGGTCTTTGATGAAATGTCACCTCCTTGGGAGATTTTTTTCTGAGTACTCTTTCTAACCTACCTCCGGAGTCCTATATTACTCTCCTTTTAATTGTCTTGTTTCTTTTATCCACAGAACTTATCACAAATTTAAATACTCTTATTACTTATCCATCTGCTTTTTTTGCTTTCTATTTCTTTTACCAAAATGTAAATTTCATGAAGACAGAGACCTTTCCATCTTGCTCACGCTAGTATTCTTGGCACTTAGAATGGTACTTGGCAGACAGTGGGTGCTCAATAAATACTCAGTGAACAAATGAAAGAAAGGGGCAACATGCAACAGTTAATAAGTGTCCTCCAGAGGAACCATATGGACCTGAGTTAGAAGAACCCAGAGTGAAATCACAGGGCCCCAAAGTTTGTTCAGAAGGGAGGATGTCACTTTAAGGTCAGATTTCCTCCAACTGAGTGGGCCATTGTCCCACCCGACCCTGTTACCTGGGAAGAGGAGCACAGGGTCCTCAGGGTCTGGGGAAGATAGGGATATTAGCTGTCTTCTCTGCAGTCAAAAGGTAACAGAGGAGAAAACTTACTGCATGCTTGGACAGCCTCTCCACAAGAAAATCCTGTGGATGCAAAAAGGGCAACACTTTAAGCATTCCACCCTGTAATGGCCAACCCCTCAGGGCAGAGGGCCCATGTGAAGATCTCCCTCCCTGGGGACTGACCTCCTAAGGCTGAAAACATCCAGTGTCCTCTCAAGTAACAGCGGGTCCAAGGTGACTTGGATGAGGTGCTAGGAGCCACACGGTAATTAAGAGATCTGAGATATCATCCTATGCTTATAACATCTGCTCCCTTCTTCACAACTGAGTTCAAAGTGCAAATAGCAATAGATGACAGTGACTGATTGGTATGGCATGGTGGTGGAAAACACATGGGCTTTTGGAGGTTAGGGACATCAGGGTTCGAATTCTGTCTTTGTTACTTACTGGATTAATGATCTTAGGCAAGTTGCTTAACCTCTCTGAATCTTAATTTTTCCATCTAAAAAGTAATTACCTTTGAAAAGTTATTTGTCATTAAGGGTTTGATACATAGAAAGGCCCAGTAAATGATGGTATGATCATTATAGTGGGAGATTTTCAGTTTATACCTCAGTGTGCTAAAACACTTTGTAGGCATAGTAAAAGGCAAAGCCTGTTTTATCTTTCTCCTCCCATTTCTATAAACCTAGGAGGATCTGAGCCTTCTACAGAAGCCAAATGCTTTAAAGCAAGAAATTAATTTCAAGTGAATTGTGTCAAGGTTGATGTCCAACATAAAATTAGTGTACCTGAAGACATGGAGGCACCTGTGATACATGGTGGAAACAAAAGGAAACCTAATTCAAAGATAAGGAGGTCACTGGAAAGTAGCGGGCTTATTAGGTGGCAGGCTGAATCATGACTTAAGAAGTTAAGTCTCATCAGGGGAATGACAGTCTCAGCCAGCTCATCTTCTTGGTAGACAGTTTCCCAAAGGCTGCAAGACTCTGTTAATTACCCCATCATGTCATTCAGTTTTTGCAAAGCCTCTGTTTTTCAGCCTTTACCAATCTTATATGTGGTAAGATATAACATCATATACATTCCCTCAAGCACTGTGTGATTGTTTGCTGTGAGAGATGAGACAACTGCACATAAATATAGGTGGTGGTGGTAATTGTGTTTTCTGTCACATCAGTAAAGAAGCTTAAAGTCTGAGAAAAATGATAAATCAGAAGTTAAGAGAAGAGAATGTCTACTGGCTCATTTCCTGCCCTAGAAAAGCCTAGGAACATTTCTGGTTCAAAGTGATCTCCCTGTATCTGTAACAGTTTCTATTTTTATACCTGAATCCATTTGAGCTGGGTTTCGTTGCTTCTAACAGCAAGAGTTCTTTTTTTTTTCATTTAAAAAACACTGTTTTATTTGTCCCCAAAGGGTATCACTTTTATGAACATTGTTATTACAAGTGTTTATAAACACTTCCCTAAATGCATTCCAGAAGAGCTATTGCATCCATTTCTTGCAGTAACACTTCTCAAAGTGGCTTGCATGCAACAGGCAAGAGTCCTGTCTCATACAGCGTATGACACAATGCTTCTTACATAGCAGTAGCTGTCTGACAAGTGACCACTATTATTATTGCTGTTGCCATTGTCACCAGTCTATGAAGATCATACTCCCAGCCTTGCTGGCATGTTCCTGAAACTCAGCTCTCAGTGCAGTCCTCAGAGATAGTGTGGGGAGGGTGATAAATTCTGGCCTTAAACTAAATCCTTGCTACTGGTTCTGTTTATAAAATACACCTGTTCCAACTTCTCTCTCATTCATTCATCCATTTAATATGCCATGAACTAGGAAAAAGAGTTCCCTGTTAGTCAAATCATGTGATAACAAGAAACAGGGACTCTTTAACCTCCCTGATGTTGCCCCAGCCGGTCCTGGCTTCCAGCTGGCTTCACAAAAGCCAGCATCTGAAGGGCTGGAAGAAAACCCCCACAAGTCTTTGTGGAGGGCCGTTTTCCCTGACCACATGACCTCTGTGAGTTGTAGAGGGTCTTTTCTGTAATCCTTGCCGTTAGTAGTGGCGTTTTCTTTTTGAGCTCATAATTGCCAGAGATAGCCAGCGAAGCAGTACATGTCACGTAAGGAATGTGTCCTTGGATGTGGATCACTTGCATCAGGCAGGAAGCCCAAACCCCGCTCATTCTGCCTCTCCTGAGAGTCACAGCCACGATAGCACAAACTGCGTGGAGAAGCGCAGCAGCTGCACTAACATGCCGGGGCGCCTCAGCAGAGCATCAGGGCTAGGAGGGCTCTGGGACGGTGCCGCCACACCAGCCGTCAGTGCCAGCCTCTCGGGTTGAGGCCTCTTGTCAAGGCTGTCGGCAGCCGCAGGGGTGGTGTTGCTGGGAGTTAGACATGTGAGACAAGGGAACCGGGGAGGAGCAAGTGCTCCTGGGTCTGGAACTGCGGATTCCTGGTGGCCGGATACCCTCTCAGGCCTGACTGAGGTAGTTGTACTTGCAGGAGTGCGGCCAGGGCATGAGGCTCACAGGCTGGTCATGTGGGGGCAGGGGTGCTGTTTGCTCAAAGCAGCCCCGGTCCCCGTGGTCAGGGTGGAGAATCAGAATGCCCAGATAAGCAGCCTAATCAGAATGGAATAAAGCATGAAGAACAGGTCAAGGAGACTGGTTCAAAACGAAGGCTGTGAACAGCAAGTTGTGAGGGAGTCTCCCTTTGCTGTGGGGCTTGTGTGGTTCTGGGGGTGGGCATGAGGGCTTAAAGCAGCTGCACAGCCAGAAGGCTGAGCCTGGCACCTGGTGGAGGGGGAATCCCACAAGTTCCTAGGGCTGCAGAAGTGTGGGGTTAATTGGAGTCCTGAGAGAGTTAGCCACCTGGCTGTACAACTGTGTTATATAGATCTGTGCAAGATTTTTCATTTCCTTTACCTGGGATGAAGGAATGTGTTCTCGCATAAGGCACCTAGGAAATTTGCAGGCCTATAAACAGCATCCCTCTTTTTAGGAGCTTTTTCTCAGGTGCAAGATGGGGTGTTGCCTTCTCACCTATGCTGAGTTCTCATCTGTCACAAGATGCAGACTTGCAGGACTGCAGGCCATCTCTGTCCTTCCTACCAACATCAGTGTGGTTTCTGCAACCTGCTGATCCACAAATTAGATGCAGTTGTTTGATTAAATGTCTGCGATCTTTTTTCCACAGCTGCACCATGATGTTCTTCTTAAGTATTTTGTTGTCATGTCTTCTAATCATTTTGTCCTCTACCAGCGGAAAAGAAAACCTCTAAAAAGTCTTAAATGATTTTTTTAAACGTTGATGCTTTTTCTTAAAAAACACAACAAAAACAGAGGCAAGTCATATAGAGCTGTGGTGAACTTGAGAAAGATCATGTGATACATGTTTTGAGGCATACCTAACCACTGGCTAAATCTGAAAAATAGTAATATAATGCCAATGAGGGCTCTGGTAGTAAAGAAGTCTGGGCTCCTGTCTCATTTAAGCCTCCTGTTAACAGCATGATGCTGAAGTCAGTTTGTGTCCAGGTCATCATGGATCAAATGAGAGAGTGACCAGAGCTGTAACATGCTGTGGGTCACTTGGGATCTTGCTGAATGGAGATTCTGATTCAGGTCTAGGGTGTGACCTAAGACTCTGCATCCCTGGCCATGCTGCTCTGCTGTTCAGACTTGAGTAGCTACGGCTTAGAAGACCTCCAAGGAGTTCTCACTCCTGGCTGTGTGTTGGAATCTCCTTGGGTGTTGACAAAGGGCTCATAGAAAATATGGGTGCCCAGGCCCCACCTCCAAAGAGAAGGATACATTTGGTCTGCTATGGGCCAAGGCTTCTCTCTTTCTTTAAAATCTCTTCAGGTGTTTCTCATATACTGTCAGGCTATGTATGATAAGCTCTAGGAGCCTATGAAAAAATGTGTATACATAAACGTACACATATATGCACATAATACATACATGTATATATGTCTGAATACACACACGATAACACAGTGTTCCTTTTCTTTTCAGACAATGTTGAAAATTATGTCCCTTTTCTGCTTCTGAAGTGTGAGTAGGGATGGCAGAGAAGGATCCAAGGAAAGAGCAAAATGACTGTTAGAAAGAAACTGTGAGAGTAAACAAGGCCGGCCTTTTGCCTTGTGTGGCTCCCTGACCCTCCAGGCCAGCATGAGCTGCAGTACCATAGTGTGCTTGAGACAGGCTGCCCAACATGTCAACCAAATGAGCCTGCCACATATTGGGCCATGGCTAGACAGAGATTAAAAGCTAAAACTCTGTCTTTAAATCTAAGTAAAGTAGTTGGCTCTATATCGGTAGGCCTACATCATCTGCCAGTTTGTAATTTGTCAACTGCATTCTAAGCTTGCAAAAGTTAAGTGCATTTACCATAGACCAGCCACCTGCAAAAAAAGGAGGGTAAAAAAGGATTTCCACTGTTTATTCAAACTATAGAGAGGTTCAAGTGCCTGGTTTCCACTGCACCACTAGAGAGAAAAGCAAAAGCTAAGAGAACATAGCTCTTTGAAACCATAGCTGTCTTTAAGGACAGTGAATGTTGCTAAAGAAAAACACCCACACAGCCAAGGCTTCTGCTGAAGCGTAAAGGGCTGTTTGTTTAGCTGAGGCCCTGGCAGGGTTTGCTTGAAGTTGGGCCTGAGCTGACTTGGGCTGGAAGAGATGAATAGCTTGTCTCAAATGTGAGGAGAATTTGGGCCTGGAGGGTGATGAGTGGAAAGAAGGGTGAGGAGAAGGAGGGATGGCATGAGCAAGGCCAGGATGTCCCAGGTGAGGTGTGGGGAGTGAGATGAGCTCAGAGCCAAGTGTCTGGGGGACCTTTGAAAACAGGTTGTCTATGTGAGTGTCAGCTGGTGTAGGGCAGCCCTGTACGTCTCCCACGGCAGCCTTGTTTTCACAGTTGCGTCTCTGGGTGAAAGGGCTGGTCCACTTTGAATCACACCAGGGCCAGGATACAACCCCAGCAGGCAGAACGGAGAGCCTGAATTCTGGGCAGGCTGGGAATCAGAACTGCAAGAGCTGCGACCACAATCCTTTGCCCCATTTGCAGAAGTCTCAGGAGAGGCCTGGATTT